CTTGCACCTGGATAAGCTCCACCCATCACCAGAATTTATATCAGGCCCAATTTCCTCCAGAAAACCCCTTGATGCAGGCATTCCAGGGCTCCAGGGACCTAAGAGTCTGGGCCACTGTAGGTTCTTGGCTTCGAGAAAGAAAAGAATTCAAAGATAAGCCAGCACAGAGTTTCAAGTGAAGGAGAGTTTACTAGTGAAACTGAGACAGAGAGTGGCTACTCCACAGACAGAGCATCCCCTCCCTAGTGAGATTTACTATTTTTATTGCCACTCATTTAATCAAGGTGTAGGGTATTCAATAAGGGGGAGGAGGAATATTCAGGATCTGTCCATGAAAGGGGTGGAGATTTCTGGCAAGAGTCCTGGGGGCCACGTTGTGTCCTCATATAGGCTTTCTGCTTCCAATCACAGTGGCTCTGGTGTGTCATTTAGCATGGTAATATATTACAATGAGATCACAAGGCTAGGGGGTCACCATAAGGTGAAAATAGTTTCCAAGTTGGGTTGAGTTGGTCCCTGCCACTCCTAACCATAAATCCATTGCAGGTTTGTCTTACTATCTCCTTGATAATCCTTGTAGCCCTTGTTGATTACAGCCATTTCGCCACATACCCCAACTCATGCTCACCTACCACCTCAACCTAACAGCTCTGTAATATTCCCCTAGCTCCTGCGAAGTGACTGCTTTGGCAGGATTCATCATGGTGGGGTGTAATTAATCCACTTACTTGCCCATCTTCATCCCTACACTACAAATTCTTTGCAGAAAGGGGCTGTTCTCATATACCTCTTGGTTCGCAGTACCTAGTACAGTACCCAATACATGTGCCCTAGTACATGTAATTACCTAATAAATTTTGGGTGTCTAAATGGCTGCATGGATGGATGAATAGTGTAGAGCAGGAAAAATAATTTTCCAGGTACCGTTGTAGGTTCTTGGCTGAGACCCCCCCCCAATAGATTAAGAGGGGGGAGCCAAACAGAAGTTTAATAACATGGATACCTCCTGTGTGCATGGGGGAGACCCAGGGAAACAGTAATTCCCTGAAATGGCCCAAGCCACCACCTTAAATATCATATATACCCTTTAAAGGCAAAAGAAGTTGTTGTGGGTGGGGGGAGGGGGTAAGGCCAGTTAGGGAGGTTGTTAGGCAAAGCACAGTAAACAAGGGTAAGGTGTTATGCAAATTTAAGTCTGGCTTCTCCATGGATACAGTTTCTAGAGATTGAATTGTATATTACCCTTCTCTTCCTGGCACAGAGAGGGGGACACCCTTACAAATGGAGATTTCCCTTGTGAATTTCTCTTATAGAAGGGTAACATACTGGGTTTTTCTGGTTTCTTTTGTGTCTCTGTGGGAAGAGGCATATTTTGGGCTCCTCAATAGTTTGGTGAAGTGTATTCCCCTCTGACTTCTAATACTAGTGACAAGACAACAGTCTTTCTTGCCCCTAGATTCTTCATGTGTAAAATCATATGTTAGCACCAGATGCTACCTAAGGTCACTTTCCTTAATATGAAATTCTATGACAATCTCCCCTTATACCTTACAGTGAAAATTGACTCCTACTTACATTCAAAAAGGAAAGTGGCAGCCATGTGACCTCCAACAGCTGGGAGTATAATTGACCATTGACCTGACCAAGGGCAGGGCCCCAACTACTCTGCTCTTAGAAATCCATGATCACTTTTCCTGGAAGCTGAGCGTGTCAGCGATACTGAGGCGGGGCCTTTAGTGGGAAACACGGCTCTTGTCTGATGGCCGATATTGGCTCATGGATGCCCCTACAGCTTTGCCGAACCTTCATAGACTCCACAGCAGCCACAGATGCTTCCACCCAACCCTCTTTTCCTCTGTCCCTTCATCCAGGGTCAGACTCCATGGTGGTCCAGTGGCTCTCCCAACCTTCCTTAGCACTGTGCCCATTTTCTCTCACAGGCATTTCCCCTAATAAAATCCTTGCGTATTTAATTCTGTCTTGCCTTCTGCTTCTCAGAAGGCTCAGACAAAAGCAGAACCCTGCTTCAAACTGAGATGTAGTTAACTGATTATGAGTCAATGGCAATTTTCAACTTTACGTCTTACTCAACACAAATAATATTAGTTCTACTACTAGTACTACTAAGAGAAATCGATTAGAGAGCATTTACTGTGTTAGTCATTGCTCCAAGCTCTCACATAGAAAAATGAAGTTACTTACTGAAAGTCACAGGTTAATATATAGCAGAGCCAGGATTCAAATTCGGAAAAGAAACCACAGTCCTAACCAGCACATTTTATAGCCTCTCAACATCAGAGCTGATCCTGCTCACTCTAGAACACTCCGCATTTTGCTTACCTGACACCATACTAACCAAGTGCTCCTGTTACCTTTCGGAGCGTCTTCTGGGAGTCTTGCTGCACCTTTTTGTCCTGAGCCCACTTCTCACACACTAGGTTCCTTGAGGCTCTGCCTGAAGTCTCCTTCTCTTCTCATACTATGTTGGTTCCCATAGAGTCAGTAACCAGCTATCTGCAGATGACTCCCAAATCTCACCCTGCTTCCGGGACTTCTGGCCCAGGTATGAACTTCTTACTTAACATTTGCCCTTGGTTGCCTGGCTAATGAGCCCTCAAAATCAACACATCCCACAGAGAACCCATCATCTCCTCTATTCCCTGACATGTCCCTCCATCCATATTGCTCATTCCAGAAATACAGCATTGCCATCTACCCAATAATGCATCCCTCTCTCGCTCCCATCCAATTGGTCAGAATATGATTTCCATGAGGGCAGAGATGCTATGGCCCTCTTGGTTGCTGCTGAACCTCTGGAGACTAACCCAGTGCCTGAAACATTGTAGGTACTCAATACATAAATAAATAATGAATGGCCCTGGCTGGTGTAGCTCAGTGGATTGAGTGTGGGCCTGCGAACCAGACAATCGCGGTTCAATTCCCAGTCAGGGCACATGCCTGGGTTGCAGGCCAGTTCTCTGCAGGCCAGTTCCCAGCAGGGGACACATAAAAGGCAACCATACATTGATGTTTCTCTCCCTCTCTCCTTCCCTTCCCCTCTAAAGATAAATAAGTAAAAATGAATGAATGAATGAGTGAGTGAGAGACTAATCTATTAAATAATGAATGAATAGAGACTGTAACCCATCTGTTCACGGTATACTGTGAACCTAAGTGAGCAAAGATCAGATCATTTTCATCACTCCATGTGCCTGGAACAGTGTCTGGAATATAGCAAGTGCTCAGGAAGTGTTTCACTGTAATGCAGTGGTACTTAATGGGGGACTGTTTGTCCTTCAGGAGACATGTGGCAATGTCTAAAGACATTTTTGACTGACACTACCAGAGGGGGAGGTGCTACTGGTGTCTATGGGTAAAGACCAGTGATGCTGCTAAGCATCCCACAATGCCCAGGGCAGCCTCCAACAACAAAGATGTATCTGGCTCAAAATGTTGATCATGTAGAGGTTGTAGAGATTGAAAAACCTCATTTAGGGGCTTAGCAAATTATATATCTATATCTCCCCCAAATTAATTCTTTTAGAGGATGAAAAAATAGTCCCTTCAAGAGAAAAATCAAGAATAAAATCATCCTTGAATTTGGTGTTCTCAGTTAATAAAACGCCCCAGACCATACCTTTGCACCTCTTCACTGAATAACCAAGTTGATGGGAGGCAGACCACGAGGGAAAGCGACAAGGTTGTCTAACTTCCCGACCTTGACTCAGATGTTATTAACTTGCATAAAAGTCAATCCTGTAGCAGAAAGCACGTGGTAAAATGTGAATTCCTTGTCTGTTACACAGCCCCAGAAACATTTTACAGTTTATTTAATATGCATGTGGAAACAACCCCAGCCCTCCATAAAATATACAGCTCAAATCTTTCCTTCCAGAACCTGGTAGCGACCCCGTCCCACACTAGGCCAGTAAGGAAACATGGAGGGAGCTTCATCTATGGCCCAGGTCACTTAGGGGCACTTGGTGGCAGGGCTCACTTGATCAGGGGTCAGCAAACTACAGCCTGCAGGCCAAGGCTGGGTGGGCATCTGTTTTCATGTGGTCCGTGAGCTAAGAATGCTTTCTTTCTTTATACATGGCTAAAGCTAACTCCAAAGAATACTATTACATGACACATGAAAAGTATATTAAGTTCAAATTTCAGTGTCCATAAATAAGCTTTGATTGAACACAGCCACTTCACCTGTTTGTGATTACTTGCAGCTAGTTTTGCAATTGGACAGGGATGGAATAACCCACAAAGCATAAACTATTTACCATCTGACCCTGTATGGAAAATGTTGGCCCACCCCTGCTGCACGGTTAAAGGCGTTGGCAAATTGTGTTTCCAGGAGGCGGAGAGAAAGGTGAAGGCGCCCGGCCTGTCATTCCCAATACCACTCTGCAGGGGAGTGGCTTCTTTGCCCCTGGGCTGGAGTTTCCTCATCTGTGACATGGGAGGGGGCTTGGCTGAGGGGTCTCTAGAGCCCTTCCTGGCCTCACACTACTATAGCATGTGGACCTTCCAGTTTGTTCAATGGTTCCCAGGTGGCCAATGGGGTAAAAGTTCAGTGGTCTTGTTTGGGACAGAGCCGCAAGGCCAGGGAGTCACATTACCACACTGAGCACTGAAACAGATGCAGACCTGAGTGGCCATGGTGTCTTTGTGAGCAGACTTGAAAATTGGCATTCTCTGAGCTTCAGGAACATAAACTTTTGGCCACTTTTGTGTGCCCTCGTTTCATAGACTATGTAATCCAATTCTTTTAACCCTGGGGAAGAAGGAAATGGATGACCCCAGTTATTGGGGAAAGTCAGCAAAGGATGGTAGCACAGAGTAGCCACCACAAATTCAGGCTGTCAAAACGGAATTTAGCACTCACATCGGGTTTATTGAAATTAACCAGGCAACTGACAACTCTGCTGCTCATCGAGTAGCAGGGAAGTTGTCTGCTGCCCTTTCTGTTTTCTTAGCACTAACACATGGCTCTTTGTCTGCAGTCCAAGGGATCACGGCTGGTCGGCACCGGCACTCCAGCCTGGGGTCTGTCGCTATGGAACCAAGCTGGCCTGCTGCTATGGCTGGAGAAGGAGCAGCAAGGGACTCTGTGAAGGTAACTTTGTATAAACTCAGGCCACCCTGTGCTCGACTAACAGGACATGGTCTTTAGGTTTTTATCAGTGACACCATAAGCTGTGGGTTCCCCAACAGAGGGACATGGGTAACTACCAACACCCAAGTTCTGCATTCCTGCGACATCTCTTCCCATCCAAAATGTGAGTCATATCATCACCCTACACAGGATTTGTTTTCAGAGACCTGCCTGGTCACTTATTTCTGCTGCTATCTTAGTGAGCATGGTTGCGTCATTTGTTACTATTTTTAAAATATTTTATTTATTTATTTATTTTTAGAGAGAGGAGAAGGAAGGGAGAAAGACAGGGAGAGAGATATCAGTGTGTGAGAAGAACATCAATCAGTTGCCTTGCATATGCACCCTGACTGGGGACCAAACCCACAACCCAGACTTATGCCATGACTGAGAATCAAACCAGCGACCTTTTACTTTGCAGGATGATGCCCAACCAACTGAACCACACCTGGATCCCTAGGTGGCATTTGCCCAAACCTCACTGTTTTATCTGTTAAATGGACAGTTATACCACTGCATCTCCCATACACTTCAGGTGTTGGTGTAGATTACCTTAGAGTATACACTGTAAATCAAAAAAGTTTAGCCATTTTTAAGAATGACAGCGTTGCTTTCTTCTTGCTGGTCTGTCCCAGCCCCAGCCTGCTGCTCTCTCTCGGGTTCAAAAAATTTCCGGCTAGGTGAGGACAGAACTTGATCATATCCAAAATCCATGACAATTTGGGAGACACCGACGTCACTCCTACATGCAAAAACTGCCACCATCCCAGTTTCCTTGTGATGGGACAAGAGTGTGAAGACACTTGAAAAATCTCTGAAGATCATCATTGCTTACCTAGATTGAGAAAGTTAGACATCCCCCTAGGACTTTGTCAGGGAGAAGGGTGGGTCCCCACACTGACAGTATCATGATCAAGGCCATTGCCTTTAGAACCGGAATGATGTGCGTGGCTAGCCTGGGGCGCGGTGCATGAGCTCCCTGAGGCTCCGTTTCCTCCTCTGCAACAGGAAGGGAGTAATACCTGCTTCAGGGGGTAAGGAGTGTGTGCACTGAAGAGCGTGGCCATTCCCTGGCTCTCATAGAAAATACCTCATAAGGGACCCTTGATTCAGAAAGCACCCATAAGTCTCCTTACAAACTTCTGTCTGTTAGAGCAGCAGGTGTTGGGAGAATTAAGTGTTGATTTATTCTTTTTTCTAGACACAACATAACACACTTTTATTTGAAGTCAGTCAGGTGGAAAGGGGCAAAAACCACATGAGTCCCATGATTTGGAATCTCTTTGACAGTCACACGACCCTCAGCACCTGCTGCCATAAAAACTTGCATGTCTCCGGTGAATAAATGAGGGTGAGCTTTGGCTTTCTGGAAGGGCTATTCTGTAACTAGATCAGAGCAGTTTGGCTACGTGACACATGGCCAGTCACATTTCCGATGCTTTTGTGGACGATGCAATGCTATAGGCATGAACGAATTTAAAGCAAGCTGTTAAAAGAGCAAGTACAGAGGGTTCAAGAAAAATGTTCACTATGCAAGTCTGCCAGGCTGAGCAGGTTGTCAGGATCTCCACTGTCCCAGTCCAACGTTCAGGTTAATGCCATTGCCATGATTTTTATATCTAAAAACTATATTGTATTTTTTATCCAATTTGCACGGTCCTTCTTGATAGCAAATTCACATGTTCCTTGAAGCACCAAATCACAGGGTGGTTAGTCCCTGATCACCATGTCTCTCATTGCTAAGCCAGAATGTGGGCTGTGTGGTAATGGGACAAGAACACAGAATCAGACCCCAGCCTGCGGAGTCCCAGTTCACGTATGTCTTCGCCTCCATCTGTCTATTCACACTTTATTCCGCACAAGGGCCCGCCTCAGTGCCAGAGCTTTCTACATCTTGGCCAAAATCTGTTTCCCGGGCCAGGTCTGCTCAGCTCCACATCATTAACCTTCAAATAGATGTCACTCAGCCAGATGTTGTCCACGAACAAATCACTAATGAAAGCTACAGATGGTGGAGTTTGGGGGAGGATTGAACAGCAAAGCTTTACTTTCCCCAAAGCCCTCTTGAATCTCAGACCATTTTTAGACATAAATGGAATTTTGCTGTGGATTGGCTGGCTATCCAAATCACGGGTCCAAAATTTCTGCAAATTGAAGTATCTTTCTGGAGCTTTGACCTTATAGCAGCAAGAGTAATATTTCCATTGCTTCTGGGTTCTATTTGGCAGTTAGCCTGAGCTTTCCAATTTGGACCACATTGTGAGTAACTTTCCAGGGAAAAGTCAGAGGTCTTTAGGGCTTAAACAAGTAAAAGATTTATTTTTGTAGCATGTAAAGTTAAACCTGCACCCCCAAGTACATATCCACAACAAAACGAACACTGGGAATCAAATTCTATCTCTTTTGTCTCCAAAAGTGGAAGTTTTTTGTTGGAAAGTATTCCCCCCCCCCATCTTCCAGCTTAGGATTTATTCAGAGCCATAAAATGTCTCCTTGTTAAAAGTTCTACGCTTCGTTTATTACTATTACTTTATATACTATTCTGAACTATTTGGGTATCCAACATGCTCACAACACTGTTAAATGCAGCAGGAGAACCAAAAATGAATGCATAAGTCCCTGTTCTGAAGGCACTCAGAATCAGGTAGTAGATAGAAGCCAGATATACGTCTAATTATTTGATAAGATGAAGACTGCTCAATTTCACGGGGGAAGCCCACCAAAGTTTTGTGGTGCTCTCAAAGTTGAACAGAAGTTTGCATGTGGCTAGAGAAATCTGTGAAAGATTCTGGAAGGAAGGGTCATGCAAGGTAGTCCTTGAAGGACCAAGAGGATGTTAACCATTGGAGGGTTGGGGACGGATGCCCCAGGCAGGGGGACAAGAGATAGGAAGAAGCAGAAAGCAAGGGGTAGGCAAGCAATCTAGCTTGAGTACAGTGTTGCCTATATGTAGGGAACAGAGTAAGCTAAGGCTGCAAAAGGGGATGGAAGGCAGATTGTGATTATGGTACCCATCCCTTATTCAAGAGACAGTAAAGATTATTTAATGACTTTTGTGCAAGGCATGGTATGACCATAGCTGTGCTTTTGGAACATCGCTCTAGTTTCATGTCTGATAGCAGACTTCCCAGAATCAGAGCCCTTAAAGGGGATTCTTGTACAAATATTCTATGGAGGGATGATCTCAGGAGAAACCTGTAAAGAAGCGAGGGGACAGATGAAGAAGCTGGTCAAAGATGTGGTTCCAGGAGAAGTCCAGCTTCAGCCTGATCCCGCAGGAGCTGTGGGATGTTCATTGTATCAGAGTTTGTCCTGTCCAGGAGCTAAACTGTTAGACCCCTGTGTCAAGCACTAGTCACGGGCAGTGGCGGGAGAAAAGAGTGGGGTTTGAGGAGTGTAGTGTGTTGTAACCTCCTAGATATCTATGGGCAAAATGATTCCAATCAGGTAAATGTTTGCTCAGTTAATGAATTCGTGGTAAGAACGGGGATAAAATGTTGTACCTGACTGCTTTGAGAACAAGACAAAATAAAGATGTCTGAAATTTTGATTCCAGGTAACTGGGAGATGACAGATGACATTGAGAAAAACTAGGGTCTGGGATCAAAGGGGAAGGTGCTGGGGTCTTCCAGAACAGGCTTGCTTAGACACGACCCTACTGTGAGCCTGGGACTCCATGGCCGGAGAAGTCAGCAACATTCCAGGGCAACTGCTGAGTCTTTCTTTTATACCATGGCTGTTTCCTGGTCTCCTACTAGAACCCCAAATCACTGAGGGCCCTTGATTCTCTACACGCCCCCTCCATTCATTATTTTTTCTCTCTCTCTCCTTTTCTTTGGGTTTTCTCATTTTCCTATTTTTCTGTCTACTACTTTTCTCCCCGTCTTTGCCTATAAACTGGACTGAACCTTTCCATCCTTGTTGACTTTTTATCCTGCCTCTAACTCCATGAGTTACGGATTCTCTCCTAGTGTTTTTCTACCACCTCACTCAGCAAATATTTTCTGAGTGCCTCCTTCAGAGATATGGATACAGAACTGAAAAAAAAAAAGAAAAATTCTGCCTTTATCATGCTGCTATCATCATCATCACAATCATCGTCATCATCATTGTCATCATGCTTTTTATTCCCATCTTCAGGGCTAGAACTTCCCATCTTCCCCGCCCCCAATCTGTGGGTTGTTCTTTTTAGCGATCATGCAGAACATTAAAAGAACTTTAATCATTCAGAAGGCAAGTAGGAGAGAAAATACAGAAGAGAAATAAGAGGCAAGCGACAAAAAGAAGGGAAGGGACCTTGGCACTTGCCCCATGAGTCCCTTCCAGCTGACCCATTATACTTCTTTCATTAAATCTTTGTGTCTACATGCAAGACTAGCTGGCTATGGTCTGGGAGGCTCTATCTTTCTTTGAATGCCACTGGAGGTGTGGCGGTGCTAAGCACAGTTAAAATGAACTTGCACTCATTGAGGTGGAGGGATGATGGGTGGGGGTGATCTAGTTCACAAGCAAAATACTTTCCAGTCTGTTAATGGCAAAAACAGACCAGAGAGTCCTTTAAATATCCCCATGGATTTCTCTGCCATACGGAAGGCGGTTGAGTTTGATATGCGTGCTTTTCACTGCACTAACTATTCCTGTTTTTTTTATCTTCAAAACACCTTTTCTTTCCACAGCTACATGTGAACCTGGCTGCAAGTTTGGTGACTGTGTGGGACCAAACAAATGTAGATGCTTCCCAGGATACACCGGGAAGACCTGCAGTCAAGGTCAGTCGAACAAAACAGGGTTGTAGTGCAAATGTCCCCCAGACTTTTCACAAGCACTCCTGCCATCACAGCGGGGTTTGGGACATAATACAGTGCTCAGGACATCACAGGTTTTAACTCCAATCTTCAAATGAAAGCATTTTCAGAACCAGAATTTGCAGTCTGTCTCTTCTCCCAGAAAAATGTTAAAGTCATTCTCATGCTTTTGTCAGGATGCCAGATAAAAGGCCTTTCTTTTTCTCTAGCCAAATCATTTTATTGTGTTTTCAAGCTATTGAAGTGCTACATATGTTTTAAAGGATTTCATTTGTTTGTTTTTAGATAGAGGGGAAGAGAGGGAGAAAGAGAAGGAGAAAAACATCAATGCGTGGTTGCCTCTCACACGCCTACCACTGGGGACCCGGCCCACAACCCAGGCATGCGTCCTGACTGGGAATCAAATCACAACCCTTTGGTTCTCAGGTTGCCACTCAATCTACTCAGCCACACCAGCTGGGGCTGAAGGGTTTATTTTAATATTGAGACCAGCAGTTCTCAATCTGGATAATATTGCGCCCCGGGAAGAATTGCCAGATAACATACAGATCCCCAGTAAGATTTAAATTTTAGATGAATAAGAAATAAGTTTATAGCATACATTTGTTCCATCCAAATATTGAATGGGATATATGCATATACGTATACTAAAAAAGTGTTAATCATTTATCTGACATTGAAATTGAACTGGACATCCGGTATTTGTATTTGCTAAATCTGGGCAACTTGCTCCATGGCACATCTGAACATGTTTGAAGTAGTCACTGCCAGCATCTGGTGGGTGGAGACCGGGGATGTGGATAAGCATCCTACGGTGCACTGCACAGCCCTCCAGCAAAGAATAATCTGACCCAAATGTCAACAATCCTGAGGCTGAGGAACCCTAGCATGAAGAAACCTGCAGTAATTCAGAAAGTGTCCCCAGTTCCCTAATGCCGTTGAACAAAGAGCAGCAGATCAAGTTCAGCTGAAGTTCAGAGTAAGGCTGCCAGTGTTCTGGAAGGGAGAATGAAGTTCCAGAACAGGGCCGGCATCCGCTCCACTCAGCTGTGCCCAGGCCTAGCTGCCAAGCCCGGAGCATAGCTGTATACATTGAAATAGCCTTTCTTTGAGCTGTAGCCCTGCAGCTTCAGAGAGGCATCTCTGTCTCCCGTATGTGCTACCACCAACATAAAGGCCAGAGCCCTAAGATGCTTCCTAGAACTGCACCCAGCTGCTCGAGAGCTGCATCAAGAATCACGTGCATAAGTAATAATTCAGCTGTAGCCTTCTCTAGGGGCTCCCCACCGGGAAACCTCATTTTCCATATGTCTTGGATTCTGTACCAAGATGCCTTCTAAGAGATTTGGAATACAGGAGATATTTTTCATGCTGGTTTTCAAGTCTCGGTAAAATATTAGGATTGAGAGAGTTGTCCAGTTGGCTCAGGTTTGGGACTGACTGTCTTCCCCCCACAGCCTCCCAAGTCCTGGGACAGCCTGATCAAAGTCTATGTATCTCCATTAATGGCAACAGGCCTGGCCCTCCACTGATGTCTTTCCCAAAAGTGCTTCTTCCAAGAGACAAGGGCATCACCTCTGAGTTAGGGCCAAGGGATGGGTATTCCTGGATTTCCCATTATGTCCAAACAGCATTCTTCAACTCCCCCTTTTGAAGCAATGAGGGTCCATGTGGGAGATGGTAGGGTACAGGGAACAGGCAATGGATAAGGGGCTTTCAAATGTCCAGCTAGGACATTGGAAAATCCCCACATACGGTTCCTTTCTGAGGCGAAAGCAGCTACTTCCTTATTTCCCACAATGCACTTTGCCTGCTGCCATGTGCAATGCACTTTGCCTGCTGCCATGTGGAATTTCTGTCCCACAAGAAACGTGGTTGTTTTCTCCTTTCTATATCTCCCTTGAGGGGGTTAAGACACGAGGCACCCACATGACAGCATTTCCAAACACAAGCTGCTCTACCCTTGATCACTTTCTACATTTTGTTTTCCTTCTGTACCATTTTTATTATAATAAAAGCTATTTATTGTTAATGTTCAAGCTTTTTTATTTTTTTTAAAGATTTTATTTATTTATCTTTAGAGGGGAAGGGAAGGAGAGAGGGAGAGAAATATCAATGTACGATTGCCTCTCATGTGTCCCCTGCTGGGAACTGGCCTGCAGGGAACTGGCCTGCAACCCAGACCTGTGCCCTGACTGGGAATCGAACCACCATTGCTTGGTTTGCAGGGCCACGCTCAATCCACCGAGCTACACCAGCCAGGGCATCAAACTTTTTTTGTGCCCTCAGTGCTCACTGAAAAGCACTGAGAAGAAAGTCCCCTGCAGTCTAAGCACCTGGAGATAACCATTATTAGTTTATGAAGCACAGCCTCCTGGGCCTTTTATTTGTCCTCACATGAAGATATGCTTATTGATTTTCGAGGGGAATGGAGGGAGAGAGAGAGGGAGAGAAACATTGATGTGAGAAACATCCATCAGTTGCCTCTCATACACACCCCAACCGGACACCAAACCCTCAACCTAGGCCTGTGCCCTGACTGAGAATTGAACCCACAACCTTTCAGTTCACAGGATGACACTCCAATCAACAGAGCCACACCTTCCAGGGCCCAGGCCTTTTTTCCTATGCACTTTTATTTTCTATTTTTTACACAGTTGGCATCAATCTGTACAGGTGATTTGACAATGTTCTGTTCTCATGTAACAATATCCTCTGAACATCTTTACATTCCATATTGTATTAAGACCTGACTACCACTAGCTGCTAGTGCAGGGCCTCCCAAAACATCAGCAACTGAAAGGGGCTCTGCTGTGGGCATCTGTCATAGGCTGCCTGGGACAGCAGGAAAGGCAGTATTATCTAACATGTATATTTCTAACTTTTCATTCAAGGAGTGTATGCATGGAATCGTGCATGCACCAAAAATGTACAGCTCAATGGATTTTCAAAAGTGCCCATGTACCTGGTGTTCAGATCAAGAAACAGAAACTTAATAGACTACCCAAAGACCCCTCCCACCCCCGCCCAGTCACTTGTCCCCCCACAGAAGGAACCACATCTTGACCTTTCACACAATAGATTAGTTATGCCTGCTTTTTAATGTATGCATTGTGTTTAGCTTCTCCCACTCAAGATCATGTTCGTGAACTTCATCCACTTGCTTGTAGTTGTAGTTTGTTCAGCCTCATTGCTGTATAGTGTTCCATCACATGAGTATACAAGTCAGCATCCATCTCTCCGTTGGGAGTTTTTGGGTGAGCAATATCCATGTTTCTGTTGAGTAGACACATGGGAGAGGAACTGCTAGGTCATGGGTATGTCTCTTCTCTAGATTTAGCAGATTCCACTACACAGTTTTCCCAAGTGGTTGTACCTACTACATTCCCTCTAACACTTACCATTGTTCCCTTTGTTCTACATCCTCACCAACCCTTTAATGAGTTTGGAGAAGGGGTCAGTCAGTGTCCTGTATCTCCAAACCCATGGATGGGGTCCAGGGAAGCCAGCCCAGTTCCCCGTGTGGATGTTTCCCGATTCAGGTAACCTTTCCTGTGTTCTAACTGCCCCCTGCAGATGTGAACGAGTGTGGAGAGAAGCCCCGGCCATGCCAACACAGATGTGTGAACACACATGGAAGCTACAAGTGCTTTTGCCTCAGTGGCCACATGCTCATGCCAGATGCCACATGTGCCAGTAAGTGTCGACAGCCAGGCTGCTGTCAGTCACCCTTTGAAGCTTGACTTTTGCCCTTTGATGCCTGGGGGCGGGGGGAGTTGACTTCAATGATTAAAAAAAAAAACCTAGCATCTCCCCAGGCTAAAACATCTTTGAACACTTTTAATTTTATTTTTTAAAAGATTTTATTTATTTACTTTTAGAGAGGGGAAGGGAGGGAGAAAGAGAGGGAGAGGAACATCAATGTGTGGTTGCCTCTTATGTGCCCCTCACTGGGGACCTTGCCTGTAACCCAGACATGGGCCCTGACTGGGAATTGAACTGGTGACTCTTTGGTTCACAGGTCAGCATTCAATCCACCGAGCCACAGCAGCCAGGGCTCTTTGAGCACTTTTTAAAAACATTGTGGGAAAATACATATAAAATGGAATTCACCATGTTAACCACTTTAAAGTATACAGTTCAGTGGCATTTTATACATTCACAATGTTGTGTAATTATCACCAGTAATTCCAGAACATCTTCTTCACCCTAAAAGGAAACCATCCTCATTAGCAGTCACCCCCTGTCCCATTCCTCTGGAAGCTATGCATCTGCTTTCTATCTCTATGAACGTGGCTATTCTGGACACTTGTTTATTTTTTAGTTTTTTTAGTTTTTCGATAAAAAGACTAGAAGAAGAAAAACTGAATTCTATATCTCTCTATACGCAGGGATGTATTAGGTTTCTTCACCAAAATAAGTGTGTAGACTAAAAGAAGCATACTGTGTTTAGGAAGGTGGTAAATTTAAATTCCATCTTGGGATATCAATCCCACCAACTGCCTTTCTCACGCCCTTTACCCCAGGCTCAAAGATTTGTGACTCTTGTTGCAAACATGCTCTGAATCACATTCCTGAAAAGAAAAGCCCTTCTGTGATAAAGAGAAACCCATGTCCTGTGGGAGGGTGAGAGTCTATATCCATTCATTTATTGAGAAGGAAGGCTTTTCAGGTTTGATGTTGCAGCTAAAAGGTAAACCCATCCTCCCTGCCTACCTCCCCTGCTCCCTCCCCTTTCTCCATCTCCCTTTCCACTGCCCATTGGCCCCCAACAAGCCAGGAGCCTGTGCCTCCTACCAGCGTCCTATGGTTGCAGAATCTCATGGACTCCCCAGCCCATCCCGGGCTTTGCTGCCATTGTAAAATCTTGGCTAATGCACGGCTTTCTGCTCCTCTGGCTCATCTCTGTGCTGTCCCTCCCTGGAAAAGCGCCCCGACACTACCTGTCATCTAGACTCTTCCTTAGCAGGCAAGCTGAAGAAATAAAGCAGGCATTCAAAACAGGCTTTAAAAAAATCCTTGCCATTGTAAATTCAACAGAAACCCACAAGAGACAAATACATAGCAAAATGAATTCTTATAGGGCGAACACCCATGTAACTACTACCAAATAGAACTTTGCCAGAACCCCGCACCCCCACCTCCATGGGAACTTCCAACCAGGCTTTTATAGTAACCACTTAACATATTTGAGATGATATATCCTAAGGGCTGTTTCTAAAACATTCCATGCAGCCCAGTGAATGCCAAAAAAGATATCTTTCTCCAAATGCAAAGATAGAATTAGGTGATTTTAAGGATTAATTTTAAAAGAAGACACCTAAAGAGAAGGAAGGCTAAAGTAGAAATATTACCACTGGTAAGTGTTTGTTCCATTACCTTGGCCTGTGTATCTAGCTGTGTATACTCTTTGTCTATTTCTGTATATGTAAGGGCTGTCTAGGCTTCCCTGTTTATAGCTCACAGTGTCCAGGTAGCCCTGGACCGCTCTCTTGGATGCTGATTTTATTTTACCTGACCTGCTGCAGTGTCTTTGGTTCAACTGGATGATTGGCATGTCATGGATGGGGTGGATGAACAGAGTGTATTCACCATGCTCCCTGTTGTAGAAGCATATGATCCACACACACTGAACTCCTACTGAGGAAAGGCATTTTTGTGAGATAATGAGTGACAGGAACATCCAGCTGAATCATCTCATTTTCGGGGGGGGGGGTAGAGGGAGGCAGGCAGTTCCCACAACAGCTCAGCAAGGACTCAGTCTGTGCCATCCTTTAGGTATTGATTTCATGCTCATGCTTGTTGTCTCAGAGTCACAATATGGCTGCCACCACTCCGGACAGCACACATACTTTTATGGTAGGCAAAACAAAGAGGAAAGGAATGATGCCAAAGGGAGAACACCTCTTTCATGACTGTCCCTTTTATCATGCAGCAGTGTCTTTTCCAGATGTCCCACTCCCTCCAGCGGACTTATCTGTATATTTCTTTGGCCACCACAGTCCCATGGGCACTATTTGTTGCTGCAAGAGATACTGGGAAAAATACAAATATATGGATTTTCGGCCTCAATGATGGCAATAGCAAGAGAAACAGGGGTCTGGAATGGCTTTCTGGCAGCCAATCAGTTGTATCTGCCACATGTTTTAAAACTGGCACCTAAATGTCTGTCTTGTGACTCGAATGACTCTCATTGAGGTTAAACATGCATGGAGACATCTTGAGACTGGATTCTTTTACCCTGATTACTCAGATGGATCACCAGCATCAGAAGCTGCATTTCAACTCTATAGCCAGGTGATGCAAGGAGTGATTAGAGCTCATGCCAGAGGAGAGACAGCTTCAGCGTGGTAACTGAGGGGTGCATGCCCTACCTAAAGACAGTCACGCTCAATACACTGGCCAACAAAACTGACTGCAGAGCCCCGAGTAGTGTGGCTCAGTGTGTTTGGCATCATCCCACCAGTTTGATTCCCAGTCAGGGCACGTGCCTTGGTTGCAAGCCAGGTCCCCATTTGGGGGTATGTGAGAGGCAACCAATTGGTTTCTCTCATGTATTGATGTTTCTCTCTCTCTCTGTCCCTCCCTTCTCCTCTCTCTCTAAAAATAAAGAAATAAAATTTTTTTAAAAATTACCATGGAGCCACCAAGGCACCACCTGGCCCAGATTCCATTTGGCTCACAAACTGTGGAGCTCACCCTGCAATTCCATTCCACACGTTCCATTTAACACCCTCGCCTACCTCTGCAGACTCCAGGACGTGCGCCATGACACACTGCCAGTACCGCTGTGAAGACACGGACGAAGGGCCGCGGTGCCTATGTCCGTCCTCGGGACTCCACCTGGCCCCAGATGGCAGAGTCTGCATCGGTAAGAGCAGCAGGTGTCGCCTCCACGTCCTGTCCTCTTCCCTTCGCTGCTCCCTTTACTTATCTCCTCCTTTTTCATTGATCACAATCTGCATGGTGACTAGACCTCTTAAGCTTCTAAAAGTACAGATTTATGTCTGTTTCTGAGACAGCATTGTTACCCACGAATGCTCTAGACATACTTTAGAATGCTGGGAAGAATACTTACTTCTCTATTATTTGGGGGTTGCCTAATGCCATACTGGAAAAAGAAGCACAATAATTTTATTTTAGTATTTTTACCCTGCCCATGTTACTTCAGCCACCAAATTGTATATTGTCATAGCACTGTACTTAATTATATTGCACCAAGTATGCACAATATTTAGAGCAAGAAGCACATAGCATGAATAAGCAATGTCAAACCCAATCAGACCATTGAAAGAGTTCTTAATCTTTTTATTTAAATAAGGAAACAGCAGTATGATTTCATATTCTTACTTCCTTACCACAGTAGAAATATTTTTTGCTTAAGGTGCTGGATGGTTATTCATCCTAACTATACGTAATGTGATAAACTGTGTTTAGGAAGCTCAACCAAATGGGTACTAAACCAGTTAAATACTTTTTTAAAAAAATCATGTAAATTAAAAACTTGTCTCTGCTCTTTGAGCATAATCAAAGATTGAATTAGAAGCACAGATGCAGCAGTCTAGAGTGACACATGATTTCTGTGACAAGGGTCATTCCCGACACACTGAATCCACATTTTTGCCCACCTCTTGGATTGGTCAGGTGCCTTTTTTGGGGAGGGGGGATGAGGGAGAGGATAGGCAGGAAGGGGATCATGGAAAAATAATTTTCGTCAGCCTATCACTTATTTATTAATTATTTTAAGGATGCAAAGGAAACAGTATTCCGGCACCAACTTGTCTGTTTAACCACAGTTGTGAAATACCAGCATGTCTCTTTGCTTTGATATCTGCAGAGGGAAGCAAAGCCTGATTCTTAATGGTTTGGTGAGCAGGGCTGTCAGCCTCTCTGTAACGTGACTCTCAGCATTAGAGAGGGCAGGAAGCCTATTGTCTGCTAACGTTGTGTTGTTACATCATTACCGTTGACCCACAATTTATGTACAAAGTACATTCTTGAGAAAGCACATGTCTGTGATTTCAGTCCATACTGCAGGATTGGAAGAATCTTGCTTATGAAGTAATTATTTTGTAACATGGAAAATGTAAATGTGTGTTCAGTTTGCTTCAAGTGTTAGCTATCTGATTCTGTTTGTAAAAAAAATTGTATATGCTATGCAATATGCAGAGTTGGAAAAACATTAATTCACTCAGCAAACGTGTAATGTGTGTGTGTGTGTGTGCGTGCATGTGCCTGTATATCTCAGAGGGAGACTGCTTCATCTTGCTAACCCTGACACCTGGTTCTCCATCGCAGATATCAATGAATGTGCCTCTGGCAAAGCCGTCTGTCCCTACAATCGAAGATGTGTGAACACGTTTGGAAGCTACTACTGCAAATGTCATGTTGGTTTTGAACTGAAATATATCAGTGGCCGATATGACTGTGTAGGTAAGATTTGGTGGCACTTTTTCTTTTTCCCTCTCCCTAGCTACTTCAATTCAGTCTACTCATTGAGCAATCTATGGTACCAACCAGCTTAACAACACAGAAAAGGTGACTTTTTTTATGTTTCTGGCATTTAGAAAACTCTGATGACATGAATTATATGAAGCCAGGTCAGTAAAGATTTAAACTAAGGAACTTCAGTCTACATAGGTCTGTTATGGGGACAAATATCTTGAGGTTATTTCATGGCCTTTTAAAAAAAAAGTTGGTTAGTTTTGTTTTTAATGTTTGATTCTTTGTCCAAGTACATATGTAAAAATGGAAACAATAAAGCGGTTGTTACATTTGACAAAAGGAAGAATAACAAGTCCTTTTCAGTCTTGATCTCGGTGATCTGGGCAGGACAGTGTCCAGCAGGGCTGGCTTTAGAAAAATGGTGGAAGGAGAGAAAGACGCATGCTCTTTTCTGGCCCCTCCGTCATCCCTTTCCAGATCCAAGCTCCGCATCCCCTAAAACGCTTCCTGTTCAGGGTCACCAAACCCATTCTGCTACATTTCTGACGTCAGTCAGCCATGGGCTGGATCTGTGTGAGATAACATATTTTTCCCTTAGGGAAGGGATTTCAAGTCTCAATGAGCACATGCAGTGGGGCTTTTGACGAGCTCTTGGATGCTCTCCCGTCACCCTGCTAGGATATGGGATGGGCCCATCCTTTCGGGCTCCCTGCAGACTCCTCCTCACATGGTGTGTGTAACAAACATGCACATGGCATGGAAGCTAACAGCTGGGAGAAAAGTCAGATTTCATTCAACCCTGCACTCGGAGCATCCAAAGACACATCTCGTGCCACCATGTTGGGGCAACACTCAGTCCCTGGGTTTTGAACTGTCTTATGAAGCTTCCACAGCGCTTCCCTCAAATGTCCTCAAATACAAACGCCACCCTGCACGAGCTGGTAAAATTCTTGTTTCCCACGTCCTACTGCAGACCCATCTGCCTCTGTGATCAGTCACACCATGTCACCGAGCAGATACCTACCTATAGGGAGGTTCCACAGGACAGGGTGTGAAGTCACATGGAGAGCTTTTAAAGGAAACAAATCTTTGTGATTTTAAAAGTCACAGAGATCAGCATCTGAACTCCCTTTGTGGCGGAATCTAAAACAATAGGCTATTTTGTGAGCCTCTGTCTACAAAAGCATAGCGTGAAAGTCGGGTGGAGAAGAGGGCTCGTGAACTCCTCACCTGTGTGGAATTTGGAACACTTTCCAACTGTAAATGCAGCAGACAAGCTCAGACCAGCCTGACCTTGCTCCTGGTCGTCTTTGAACAAAAGGCCTACATATTCAGATGAGGTCAATGGTTCGTAGCCAGTCTTGTCTGTTGTTGGTTAGGTGTTCCAAGTCTTTCCATGCATATAATTTATTTCCTCATATTGTGATTTAGTTCGAAATTAGACAGATGAAACAGTTAAGAAGACAACCTGAACATCGTACAGATTTCAGCAGTGTTGATAAGCAGATGAGATGGCTATAGGGGTGGTAAGCTACGCTCCCTGCCTACCTGGCCTCAGGCAGGCTGGGCCTCTGGGCCTCTGGGCCTACACACCAGGGGTTATGAACGCCTCAGTTCTGCAGCCACACTTGATGTGCCGATGGTTGGCTCGAGTGTAAGGGATGTCAGTCTTTCGGCCCTGTTACCACAGTTTGTTCATGGGATGTTCCCATTTTTAGATATAAATGAATGCGCTGTGAATACGCATACGTGCAGCCTCTATGCCAATTGCCTCAATACCCAAGGATCTTTCAAGTGCAAGTGCAAGCAGGGATATAAAGGCACGGGACTTCAGTGTTCTGGTAAGTAGCATTTAGCCCTGGTGTGTTTGCTTTTGCAGGTAAAGCATTTTGTCCATGTCTCCCTCCTCCCTTCATCTGTACTGCACTCCCCACCCCTGGTGTTGCTGTGCCTGCAGGGTTTGAAAATTTAACTCGACTTCAGCCCTCTCTTCTCCACTAATGGAACCACATCCCCAACATGCAAATGCTGAACTTGTAGGCACTCAATTTAAAGAACAGCAAAGGTTCTAGGTATTTTTCTGGTCACAGCATACTTCCAAATACTAAAAATAAGATTTAAAGACAAATGACACTGAGCCAATGTATCTGTCAGAATAGGCTACGTTATGGTACAGTAACAAGCTGTCCTGGAAATGTCAGTGGCTTAGGACTACAAAAGCTTTTAACCATGTGAATAAGGACTTTTTCCAGAATGCAAACCTAAACAAACTATGATGAAGCCGATGTCACTTCATCTCTCATCCTCAACCCTGGATTCACATTTTTGGTGTATCACAAAGAGTCCCATTGCTCTTGCTCGTGAATCCCCTAATGCTCAGGTGGTCGAATCTTAAATTCATAAACCAAGTGCGTAACAATAGAATGTCACCACTATTAACAGCTACAACAATTGTTTACTTCTCACCTGTGCTGTGTCCGGAAAAGAGTCGTCAAAGTGTTTCTTCTCCATGTCACTGAGGAACCCAGACTGACAGAGGCCCCACATCTTATGGTACCACGGTAAGGGTTGTCACAACATGGAAAGACACAGGGACGATCACACACCAGCTCTTAAATAATTCAGCTTGGAAGTTGAGGCAAAAATCTGTATAATCCTGTGTGTCCCAAAAGAGAGGAAAACTAGAAATCATGATGAGCCCCTGGAAGGTCTCCCAAGGCAAGCCAACAAGGATGTCACTCCCTTGACAAATGGTGTCTCAGTGTTTAAAGTCACCCAAGTCAGTCCCTGTGGTCGTGTCCTTTTTTGGCTCACTGGATGACTAGATTTGTTTTCTGCCCCGACCCTACTCTTCCATGAAGCCCTTTAGCAGAGTCCCCACGTGTTCCAGCAAATATGGCTGCACATGGCTGATGTGGCCACCGCTCCTGGCGACACGACAGAGTGGCCACTCGGTGATGGCAAAGATAAACTGTCTGTCCCATGACGAGCATTGAGCAGCACATCTGTAACGGGTCACAGTACCCCCAGGGGCTGTGGTTCAGCACCCCTGGAACAGGCTGTACAAAAGAATGTGGTCAAAGCAAATAAGCATGGAATCAACTTCTGTGAAGAGCTGCCCAAACAGGTGGGCAGCATTTAATCAGGAAGAAAAAATATATTGTGCAAAAGCGTAAACTCTGCCAGTAAATAGTTTAAGAATATGAAATCAAAATGCCTTCCATAAGCAAACTTAGACCGAGAGGTGGTGGTTACATTCTCTCTTAAAAACGGCTGCCAGGTATCTGAGAGTGGAGCAGGAACCCGGCCGAGTAGGGACATTCCACTGCACAGGCTCTCGGGTCTGAGGCTCTGGGAGGGATGCCCGCATTGGCTGGAGGTGGGATTAAACGGCCACTCAGTCTCCAGCCACTCGATGCTGTGGTGTCTGCCCCTCTGTATAGATGTGTCCATGATGTCCTTCTGGAACTGTATTCAAAGAAAGAGAAGTTGGCTGCCTGTGTAGAGCTGTGCATGGGTGAGCTGTAGGGAGGGATGCCTTACCTTTGAGAGGCCCCTGGAGAAGAGACTAAGTAAATGAGTTTCCAGCCTGGATCAGTGAGTGGTCAAGGGTTCCTTCAGGGCACTACATTTGAACATGTGCAGTCCAGCCTCACTTGTCTGAGGCCATGTGGTGTCACAGTCAACAGCTTAGGCGCCAGGACTAGGAAGGCCTGAACCTAAACCTGAGCTCTGCCCCATACTGGTTGTGACCTTTAGCAAGTTTCCTATTCTCTCCAAACTCTTTTTCCTCCTATCCAAAATGGGGCTCATGGCAGTCCTGTGGTGGGGGCCTGTTGTGGGCTGGGCCACAGGCCTTTGAAGCTCCCTCATTTCAGCAAGGCGGGTGGACATTTCCATGCATATCCCTAGCCCCAGGGCAGTGGACTCTCCCTGCCCTGGGGCCTTCCAGCTTTTTCTAGAAGGTCTGCTCAGCCCCGTGTAGGTGGTACAAACCAGAGTTAACACACAGTGCGTCCAGAAGTCTGTGGATAAATACCCAGCTTCCCCTTTGCAGGGTGGGACAGCCCTCAGGTGTTCTCTACAATGAGTTCATTGGTTTTGTCAATGTCCATACTGTACATTGCAATAGTGAAGAGTTTAGTAGAGCATCCTTATGTGTCATCGATACCCAGAGGAAGAAGCACCCAAATGTAGATGTCTGGGTTTTTTGTTTGTTTGTTTTTGCTATTCTGATATGTGTGAGTGTTAATAATACACTGTTAGATAATTTGGCCTTAATTTGACAGCAGCCATACCGCATTGTAAGAGTATCAAAAGTTAGATATTACCCAACTTGGGTAGTAACAGCCAGTTTAGAAAAGGATAGTACATCATTGAGTTACCAGGAGTGTGGCTTCCAGAATCAAATTATCTCAGCTTGGTTCCTGGCTCCCTAGCCTACTACCTGTGGGCTGAAAACAAATTCTTGACCTTTCCAGTGCCTCAGTGTTCACATCTGCAAAATAGACATAATGGTATCTAACCCGTGCTACTGTTTGGACGGTTACATGAAATAACCTAGACATAATAATTAAATGTCCAGATAAAGGGTTTAGCTTGATCCCAGAATATAGTAAATGCTCAATAATCAGGCACTAGTAGTAGCAGTAATAGGGGCAGTGGCTTCTTTACCAAACCTCAACAATTGCTCCCTTTGAAAAGCAGCTTCCCTAGTCATTAGAAATATGCTTCTGATTTAGTTCAGTTCATATAGAGCGTATTGAAGGCCATACATCTTGCTATAACCAGGTCATTAAATTTTTTTTCTTTCAGTTATAACATAATCATGGGAAGTTTGGAGGTATGGCCTGGAAATTTTGTTTTTTTTAACTCAGTAAAAGATTTTCAACATTCTGGTGATCAATTCTAAAAATAATAGCAAACACAGGTCAAATATATGTCAGGCACTAACCTTGGTAACTGACATGTGTTAACTCATTTCAGCCTCCCCAAAACCCTGTTCTTATCCCAGCTTTATAGATGGGGAAACTGAGGCAAAGAGGTGATACGTGTTGATTGGAGGGCACATGACTAGAAGATGTGCGAGGCAGACCCAGGAACCCACACTCCAGGGCTATTTGCTTAACACGGGATGGGTGTGTCCATGACCCACAGCCCCTCCCCTTGGGTGGAGACTGCACGTGGGCCCCTCCCCAACACTCTCATGGCCAGCTTTTCTGCCATCCTTACCCCTTCCTGTTTCCTGGATCTCAGCGTGTGGTACATTCCTCATTCACAATGAAGCCTCTCCTCCCAGGGCTGTGTCCAAAGCTCAGATGAGAGAAGCGTTGCTCCTGGCAGTTGGTAGGAAATCACCTGGTGAACTAAACACAGGTGAATGAAGGTCAAAGTCATATTTCTCCCTGGAGGATGTTCTCTGTCATAGTGATCTTTTCTAAGTAAAGTCATGATTTTCAGGTAGGTGAATATTTAGAGAAATCTCAAATCTCCCCCAGAGAAATTGCCAGCTTCATCTACAGGAGACTGCCTTGTGAATCCGAAAAAACTGGAGTTCCCTATTTTTGTGTCTGAGATCCCCCAACGTGTCAAAGACCCTCCTACTGCAACTTCCTGCTACATTTTTATATTCACAAGAAGATGATGCAATAATGAAGAAAGTTGAAAGAGAAAAAATCAGTTATGTCAAATTTGAAACAGCAATACCCAGAGAAAGAGAAATCCATCCATTCATGGTCATGACCATGAATGGTTTTTTCTCCTTTCCCCAGCTCTCTCTCCACATGCTAAAGGAGTGAGATCGTTGATACCACAAAGGTTGTGTGGCTTGATTTTTTTTTTAGCAGGAAAAATCAAAACTTCAAAGCAGAAACTGAAAGCATATGTTTAGGTTTTGCTTGGTGTGGGTTGAAACTGTCTCCGCATTATTTATTAAAGGTCCTTAGTTCTGTGATACTGATTGCATAAAGGAAATTTCCAGGGAATGGGTATTTCCTGTCCATTTTTCATGCTGGGTCCTGGGAAAAGACTCAGGGAACCATGCACGGAATTACACAGTAAGGCCTCCAGGGGAAGGTCGATAGCTGACGAGCACATTACAATCAAAACTCAACACGTGACCTCTGGCAAAGAAGCTGAAACAGGCCATCTGCGGGTCAGGAAAATGAGTAATGATGTGTTACTTGTATTACTAGTAGTTGGATTCGAACCTACAAGTACAGGCTGTCACTTTGATAAATAGCCAGGACATTTCATTGAAAAGGGAAGTGTAGTTCTTGTTATAACAGCCTTAGATTGATTTCAAAGTAAAAGCAATGTTTTAATTAAGAGCATGTATATTTTTCAAAGCATTTGTTTTTTTCCTTTTCATTGCCCCAAATATTGTGGATATTACGGATGTCTTCTTGTTTATTTTTCTACCACTTTGGTACAGATTGAATTAGCCAAATGATGGAGAAGGAATTGCGCAAGAGAAGAGATTAAAACATTGCCAAGAAAAATGTTATTTCCAGTTTCTTTTATAGTATTCTTCTCACGGGCTGAAATGGATGTCCACGCCCTTATTTCATTGCCCTCTAAACTATATCCAAGTAGTTGAATGGAATACATTGGTTCAGGGGTTATTAGACCCTTCCTTGCTTAGTTTTAGAGTAGCACATGCCTAGAAATTTTATATAATGGCAATATATTTGATTTTACAGATCAGTGTTATTAATTTTGTAAAGGTTACTCTTCTCCCTACCAGTTGGGTATTCTTAATTATCATGAGTAGGTCCCTGGAAAGGGAACATGCATCTTTGGATTCTAGATCTCAAGGAATTTGAACCAGTCAAGAGAAACGCAACCTTTAACCCTAAAGCAGGAATAAACTTGTCTTGGAAATAGGACTGGACAATAGTCATTCATCTGCTTCACCCTGAAATCCCAGCTCTGTCTCTGGGAATCTGAGTGACCTTGGGCAAGTCACTGAACCGGACCCAGTGGCCTCCCGTATAAAACAAAGGTGTTGGACTAAATACCCTTTTTTCTACCTCTCGGGTTCTTCTGCACTGACGTTTCCCTCCAAGGGCCCTTGATCCACCTAGAGGTGCAGTTTTTTAAAATAATTTTATTTAGTTATTTTTCAAGTACTTTTTTTGTCTATTTCTCCCATCTCAGCACCCCCTGCCCCATGCTCCCCACCTCCCTCCCATTTCCACCCCCCTTAGTTCTCGTCCCTGTGTCCTTCCTATTTGTTCCTCCAAATCCGTCCCCTTTTTCCCCCTTAAATTCCCTTCCCTCTCCCCTCTGGTCACTGTCCCCTTGTTCTCTATTTCAGTGTCTTGGTTTTTATTCTGCTTGCTTGTTCATTTTGTTGTTTAGCTTCCTGTTAAAGGTGAGATCATACGGTATTTGTCTTTCAATCCCTGGCTCATTTCACTCGGCATCATGCATTTTTAAAGCAATTTAATTTAGTGCTGAGAAAAATAGTAAGTGTAGAAGCCTCTTTATAAGTATTCAATAAGTAAAATTATTTCACTTTAGGTAATAGTGGATTGAGATTAAGAAAGTCAAAGTGGAGAGAGAACAGGGAGGAAAAAATTGGTATGTGCACACTGAACCATAAATCACCATTTTTGTAGGTCACAGTGGCTCGTTATTGACAATTTACATGGGTCAGCCTAATGCTATGGCTATGGTCTCTGAACAGCAAATTTGGACAAATCTATAGGGTTTACCTAGATAGCTCCAGCTTTGGAGATTACCTGGATGAAAGTGGAAATATTAGAGGACCCGGGAAAATCCAACCCTAGAACCTGTAGCCCAACTTGGTAGAAGTAGGTATTGGATCACCGTTGTCTCTGAAGCAAAACAAAAGAATGTCCTCTAAGGAAAGCTGATTAAGATACTATCATAACATTGGCCCTGGCTGGTGTAGCTCAGTGGATTGAGCATGGGCCTGCAAACCAAAAAGATCGGGGTTCGATTCCCAGTCAGGGCACATGCCTGGGTTGCAGGCCAGTTCCCAGCAGGGGACCCATGAGAGGCAACCATACATTGATATTTCTCTCCCTCTCTCCTTCCCTTCCCCTCTAAAGATAAATAAACAAAATCTTTTTAAAAAGATACTATCATAACATTGGAACTGCTGAAAACAGTTACAAATATAGTTCTGCAAATATCAAATGGTAGAGCCTCACGCCAGTTGATTCTGGAAGCATTCATTTCCTGCACTTGAACACTTTTTAAATACTCTGTGTTTTGTGAGTTATCTAATTATCGGCCATGGCAGAACTTCTGACCTGCTGTTGTTTGTTTTAGTAATCCCTGAAAAGTCTAGGAAGAAAGTCCTCAGAGCACCCAGCACCATCAAAGACAGAATCAAGAAGTTGCTTGCTCACAAAAACAGCATGAAAAAGAAGGTAAAAATTAAAAACGTCATCACGGAACCTGCCGGGACTCCCGCCCCTAAGGGTAACTTGTGGCCCTTCACCTCTGAAGACAGTATTTCCAGAGATGGGTACCCGAATAGTGGCAACAAGGAGACTGAGGAGGGAAAGAAACATGGGCTGGGGAAAGGGACAAGGGATGAGGCCGCCCTGAAGAACCACGTGGAGCAGGAGCAAAGCCTTCGAGGAGATGTGTTTTGTGAGTATCATTTTTGTTATTGTAGGCATTTTATGAAAAATGAACTGTGGTGTCCCTAGGAAATTCAAGAAGAAAAGACAGTTTCACTCCTTAAGTAAAATGGGTTCAACTCGAAGTCCTAAGAAGCAGGTTCTTTATAAAGTCAGGAAACTAACAACTTCCACAGATGTGAAGTCCAATTTGCTCCTATGGGAAATAAAGAGCACAGGTCCTCTCCCCTTACCTGGGGCGCCGGTTCCTGTGTGACACAGACCCGCTCTTTGCAGTCCCGGCACCGGCAGCCTGCTTGTCCCACAGCCGCAGTTGTCTGGCCGCCTGCCCAGATCTGCAGGTGGTGTAGCCCCCAAACCAGAGAGAGCCTTACCAGGTGCATCTGCCAAATTCTACATTTTTCCTTCTTGAACGTACCTTTTGTAGGCCCACTGGATGAAAGGAGAATTTCACCACCATGTGGTTATGATTTTAAAAGCCAAAGTAGACCATTCTAGTGAAGGAAATTTTATATATAATAGAGCTTAAGCATCAGTTTTCCCCAGGAACTAACTGGATAACCGCAGGACCCACCATCAGTCCCAGCCCCTGCGGGATGGGTTCTAACCCACTCTCAATCCCCCACCCTGAGACTTTTCATTTCATTCTCTCTGGGCAGCTGTTGCTCCCTCTATATTTTGCCAGGTCTGTTCTTGGCTCCATGACTGTTGGATTTAACCACGTGAGAAGTAGACATAGGCCCACCCGTCCAGGAACTAGTGTGACAGTGACACATCATATCCCCTAATAGAGTGCAAGTCTTACAAAAGCGGATGTCCAAGACCTGGTGAGAAGGGACATGTTAGTAGTATAGATGCTTAGGTAAACTGGGATAACCTTTGGAAAAACATGTTCTGGATGAGGAAACTGGACCCAAGTGAGTGCCTTGCAGACGTTAGCGTACAGTGCTCTGACATGCACTGGCAGTAGAGTGTGTGATAAAACCCACTCTGTTCAGTCGTTCAGTCATACCTTCTAGGCATGTGGGGATTTCGGGTTGTTCCTAACTGATCACGTCTTCTCCACTAGCCCCTAGGGGGAATGAAGCAGGTGAATTGGGACTGGTTCTGGTCCAAAGAAAAGCAATGCCATCCAGACTGGAACACAAAGGTAAATAACCCTTTTTCCAGGTACATGCTCTCTCTCACGCAGTCCCATCCCATTTGTGTTTCTTCATAGGATGAGATGATTGTTGATGAGTCACTGCTTCATCCCTAAACACCCAAGGGAGAAATTGTTCCATCATGATACTTAGTGCCAGCATGGAAATAGTAGGTCCTTGCCCGATTAATACCAATGATTACAACATAGTAAGCCTGTCTTCTCTTCTCCTCCACTCCCACTGGACACAGAGAGTGAAGAACCGAGGCAGACTGCATGTAGGGAGGTGGGAGAAAATGACTCATTTGCTTCAACTCTAACACCCAAGGGCCCACAATTGGAAAATCACCATGTACTAAAATCTGACCCAAAGTACCTGTGCCAGTCAGTTACCTTGCCACAATAGTGCTGCATAACAAACAACCCCCCAGTGGCCTGCAGCAATAAATGGTTTTGCTTATGAGTCTGTGGACTGGCTGACCAGTTCTGCTCATCTGAGCTGGCCTGGGTGGGGCTCACCCACGTGTCTTCAGTCAGCTGTGGGCCTGCTCAGTGACTTTGCTGATTTGAGCTGTGCTCCCTCAAATGCCTGGGGCCTCGGTTCAGACAACTGGGCTGTCTTGGCTCTGCTCTATGTGGTCTCATCCTCCAACAGGCTAACCACGCTTGTTCTCATGAACAAGAAGGAAATCAAAGGCACACAGGCCTTTTGAGGTCTAGACCCAGAACTCGCCCAACCTCACTTGCACCATATTCTATCAGCCAAGGCAAGTCACAAGGCCAGCCCAGACTTTACATGCCAGGAAGGCGCTACAAAGTCATGCAAAGAGCGTGAATATAGGCAGGGGTCAAAATCAGACCATTTTTGGACCAATCTATCAGAGCCTCAAATATGGAAGTTCTGAGTCATGATCCCTAATAATCTGAGTTTATTTAGTACTTTTACAACCACGACAAATTATATATGGCATCTGTACAAAGACACCAGGAAGAAGCCTACCTGTATATTTACCTTTGTGCTCAGTATAAATGTTAATTCCTTGATCTTCTGTTTCCTTTTCAAACTTTTACTTACCACTGTACACGTCCTAAGCTTGTGCTAATTTGATTCCCTTTCGCATTGGCCCCATGAGTAGATTCTCCAACTTCATTCCTTTGGTTTATGGGGCAGTCTCCACCATGAAGAAAGTACTTCTCTGGTTCAGTCCTCCCAGTTAATCCAAGAAGCTTCTACTAAAACCCCAAAACTAATGACCCCTGACTCAGCTCCTACAGTCATCTTGTTTTTCTCAATATTTCTCCTGAGTGTTCCTTTTTATGTTTTTTAATTTTTACTTTTTAGTTATTTTTAGAAAGGGGGAAAGGAGGGAGAAAAAGAGGGGGAGAAACATCAATGTGTGGTTGCCTCTCATGTGTCCCCTACTGGGGACCTGGACTGCAACCCAGGCATGTGCCCTGACTGGGAATCAAACCGGTGACCCTTTGGTTTACAAGCCGCACTCAGTCTGCTGACCCACACCAGCCAGAGCAGTAAGTGTTCCTTTTTAAAAAAAATTATCTGTATCAAACATCAAATCACCCATGTTCTTGGTTAGGAAGAAAATGTTTCATAGTTCAGGTAATAAACTGCATTCTCCACCTGCTCAGAATTTCTGCCCCAGCTGCACTTTACACTTGCGAAGTGACATTAATAAAGTTTTTGAGTCCTCTTAGGATCCCTAAGTATACAGGGTTTCATATTTTACCTCTTCTTACATGATCCTTAATGAAATACAGAAAGTTTCCAGTTTTGCATATGATCATGTGACCCTGTGATTTCTGAGTCCTTGAGTAAGGTGTTCTGGAGCAGTCATTCTCAACTAAAAGACTCAAGTGGGCACCCAAAGTCTTCCACTTGCTGTTGACATTGAGCAAGTCACATAGACCTGTGATACCTCATTGCCTTCACGCGTAAAGTTGGAACAAGAGCAGCACTCCTCTCTAAGGTGCTGTGTTGGGCTAGGTCGCTCAGAAACAGACCCTGAAACAAGAATGTGTGTGCCATGGTTTATGTGGGAGATGAGCCCAGGAAACAGTGGTTTGGAGGGGAGAATTGAGATGGGGAAGACCAGGAGGCAACACAGGGTGCATTCTCAAGCAAGATTCCTCCAGGTAACTGGAGCTCAATCCCATTGGGGAAGTCTGGGAGCCAGTGTAGGACATGCAGCTCAGAATTGTCCTACTGGAGGGGCAAGGGAGCTGCAGTATGTATATACCAATGCCTATCTGACATTGACTGAAGGCTGCTCCCAGGATGGTGATCATTTTCTGGTGCTCCTGGCCTCTGTAAAAGCAGGGAAGGGCACCACCAAAGCAAATGGAGTTCTGTCCTAGTTGGACCTCCTGCAAGACTGAAGAAAACCTGGAGTTCAGTCTGACTTAAGGTCTGTGTCCGATTCCAGCACTTAGTGGTCCTACCCAAAGGCAAAGAAATGGAGGCATCTATCCAGGAATGCCTGTCCATCACTGGTTGAGGAGTCTTCTGGAGAAATAGCCTGCTCCAGCCAGCGTATTTCCATGCAGATGGTTGTGGGTGTTTGCAGTAGAAAGACATGCACCTGGGACAGATGTTGGTGGGGCACCAACAGCCACTGTTTCAGGGGTGATCAGGATTAAATCGGAGAATATATTTGAAAGCACTTTGCAAACTGTACAGTGCTGGACAAGTGAACTATTGTGCTCAAGGAACCAAAGCCTTGGCTTTCCTCTCTTTAAGGAGTAGTTGGCTTTGTACTATTCCATTGTCCCAGTTTACATTCCTGGTCTCCTGCATGTTGAGGAAGGGAAGGGTTTAGGGACTAACATGCCACCACAGTTACAAACCAAGTGAAAAATTCACGTTGTGCTCTGTGTGGGCTGGCAACCTCAACTTCTCAAACTAGTGATAGCACTCTCTAAAGAATATTGAAGGCTGGAAGCAAGGAGTGGTATCTTTTAGTTTTCACAATGGGGCTAGAAAGAGAACATCTTCATTGGAATAGGGGGAAATAGCAGCTTAGAAGAAAGAAGAGTGAGGGAAACAGCAGTGTGTGTGTGCTGGCCTGTTGTTATGATTTTTGTTAAATTATTGGTTAAGTAGAGCCCCAGGGTTCAGCAAAAGGCCGCAAAAGAAACTGAGATGGAGAAGTTACCACTGGTAGGTCCTGGAAGAAGGATAAGGCCACACGGGAAGGTCAAGGCGAGGCGCTTACAGACAAAGAGGCAGCACCCGGGGCACATGCCTTTTTTAGGGTCCATTTGTGCAGCATTTAGGGGTTCCCAAGCAAGGGCAGGATCGGTTGATTCAAACCAACAAGATGAGACATTTGGTAAGCGCCACAGGGGTCTTACCTAAGGGGAAGGCCCTGGGAAGCAGGGGAGACTGTTTACCACTAGGGCCATTGGAGAAGTCGTATCAGGAACTTACATTTACCTGTGACACTGTAGGCTATGCAGAGGTGTCCAACCTGTGGTCCGTGGGCCCCAACATAAAATCATAAATTTACTTCAAACATTATGAGACTTTTTGTGATGATGTATCACAGTGCATTGAATGGGTTGCCCAAGACAACTCTTCTTCTTCTGGTGTGGCACAGAGACGCCAAAAGGTTGGACACCCTTGACAGGGCATGCACTTGCATGAGGGCTGGTATAAGTTTAAAGCCCCACGGGCTGCTCGGCCAAACAAAATGGAGGCCAATGCAACAACACCATAGAGTAGCTTTGCTAAACTCTCTACAACGGAAAACACAGCATTGCCTTCCAAAGCTCCAAATGATAGACATGTTTCTAATGTTCTTAATGATCATGAGATGCACCCTTTCCCTTAGCAGATTTAAACATCTCAGTTGACTGCAGCTTCGACCGTGGGGTCTGTGACTGGAAGCAGGACATAGACGATGATTTTGACTGGAGTCCTGCGGATGAAGATAATGGTATTTAGATTTCACTATTTCATGTTCTACGATACAGCTCAGGTAAAGAAAGCTGTCCGGTGATGGGAGGGTTATTACTCCCATCGCTTTTGGGTCACTGTTGTTTGTTTGTTGTGTTTGGAGACTGTTAGCCCTTCCCCAGCCTCCCCAGATGAATGACTAACTTGGTTCAGCATATTATATTCTCCTCCTCCATCCCTCTTTCAACCACCCACCCCCACAAAGGATGCTCCAGCAAGCTTTCCACTTTCACTCTCCTGCTGCTGAGAGAGACGTTGGTATTTGTATGAGATTTAAGTATTGCAGGAAAGGTAGAAAGAAGTTGTTCCGTTCCCCCAGTTAACCACCTACAGTGCTCTGTAGTTTGTTTGCTTGCTTGTTTGTTTGTTTGGGATCTTAAGAGGAAGTAGGACTTCTACCTACACCTGGGATTTTAGCGGAGTACCTCACAGAGCATCCAAACCATAATGAGCATCAAATCAGCCACCTGGTGTGAACTCCTGGACTGAACTGTCCCTTCTGTTCCTCAACGATTTCTTTCTTTCCACCTAACGTTGGACAGCTCTCAGCCTCAGCTCCAACCTGCCTACATTCCATGGCCTACCTAAACACTCTTGGGGGGCCCTAGCTTTCCTTTTGGGCAGATCATATGGCTGGCAGATCCTATTTGGAGAATACATCGAATCCCTGTCTCCTAAGGGTTATAATATAATCAGAGACAATTGCTATACCTTCTGGGACTCCAGTTTCTTCCCAAACATATTGTTTTCTGGAGGATGTACAGGCTTACTCCTCCGTTAATAGATCCGTCTTCTAGACCCTTCCTTTAGACTAATTCCTTCCCGAGGTTTTTTCCTTCAGGCCCTGACATGCCATCAGGAAACCTAATATGTCCTAACAAAATTTCCTTTTACAGTTTGGGATTCCAGTGGAGGGCATGTGCTCCAGCCCGTGGAGCAATCAACTGGGGCTCCACCACCTACCTAGAACAAATGAGTTGGGGGGACAAGAGGCGCGAAGAATGGCAGCAAGACAAAAGATTCTGATCAAGCTGCAAACTTTATTTTTCCGAACTGGGTATATATATAGGGGGGAGGGAGAGGAAGGAGATTAGGTTGCTTGCTATTGGCTAGCCTGAGACAAAAAAGGGCCCGCTTATTGATTACTTGGGTGCAACTGGTACTCGTGGACACCGCATGTGCCTGTAGCTGATTGGCTTGTGGAGCGCATGCACACCTCATGTACCTGTAGCTGATTGGCTCGTGGAGCGCACAGGTTCCTGTAATCAATGCAACGTTTTTAGCTAGAAGCCAGGTGTAAGGTTCCCAACAGGCATGCACCCCATACGGCAAGTTGTATGAGTGGGAGTACCACTAAAGAATCAGGGCAGGCACGGGGCAAGTTCAACCAGTCCAGAGAATCCATATGTGGAGAAGCTATCTTGTCATAACTAACCTGAGTTCCTCCTTTCTAACATCATGGAATCTCCAAACTTATGTGTACCAGAGCTGTCTCACACCAGGAGTCCATAGTCAGGGGTGTCCAACCTGTGGCCTGCAGGCCACATGTGGCTCAGGATGACTATAAATGAGGCCCAACACAAGATCATAAGGCTCAGGATGGCTATAAATGAGGCCCAACACAAGATCATAAATTTACTTAAAACATGATGAGATTTTTTTTGTGATTACGTGTTGCAATGTATTTACTGTGTGGCCCAAGACAACTCTTCTCCAGTGTGGCCGAGAGATACCAAAAGGTTGGATACCCCTGCTAGGTTATTCTAGGATCTTGACCGTTCACACAGTCAGCAATGTCTTACATTGGGATTTCCACCAGTGGGAAATCCCCTATTTACAAACACCTCATTCACAAAAGACCCTGGGGTCTGCATCACTCAAACCATACTTCCACCCCTTCTGTACCTCCGTCTGTAGGTGGGCTTGTCTTTGCCTACAGAGTTAAATAGACAAAAAGAACCATGGGATAAATCAACATCATTAAAAAGATAAAATCTCAGAAGATGGATTGAAGTGTGTTTTAGCTGGGAAAGAAAGAGAAACCTGCCACAGTGGGTCATGGAAGAGAGACTGTAGCTGGTAGAGGTACCAAATAAAGCATAGGATGCCTGCATTTCAGACAAGCAACAGATACGTTTTCTTATCTCTGTCGTGTTGTTTATCTGAAAGTCAAACTCCAGTGGGAATCCCATATTTGTATTTGCTGAATCTGACAACCTTAGTAGCTGGCCAAGAAGACTGACAGTCTCTGAGTCCAGTGAAAACTAAGGCCATGTCAGCCTGAGTCTGCAAGTGTTTCCAGGAATCGCCCCAGCAGGAGACTCCACGCCACCCCCAGTGTCTTCCTCCGAGCTTCTACAGGAATCCGTCTTTCTTATCAACTTCTTCAGACCCCATTCAGTGACAGTTTTTGCCCAAGTTCATCAAAGCCACACTCAGGAGATGGGAGATAAAACAAACATCTACTATCCCTGATTAAAAGATGGACACTTAGGAATAGAGGGTGTGTTCCGGTCATTTTAAACCCGAAGGTGAAATGATATGTTACACATGGTGGTTGAGCTCCATGAAACTTGTTAGTATAAATTGAGGAATATTGTGGATTACATACCATACTATGGACCCACCTACTGGCTATCATCCATATCATTGATTCAGTGGGGAAATGCATTCTCAAGTTCAAAAAACCAAGTTCTGGAGCACAAGCTCTCCATCAACTGAGAATTACCTAAAGTGCTAAGGGGTCATTTCATTAGATTCTTACCCCATATCTGCTCTTGCCAGGCTTTGTGAATGTAAACATGTTCCTTGGTTTCTCTGACCCTCAGTTGCCTTTTCTACACAAAAAAGGATTTCAACTCCACGATTCCCTGAAGTCCATTTTAGCATGAAAAGTTTGTTCCTATGCTTGAAATGAAAAGAACTTCAGCTCTCCCTATAGAAGACTACCATTCTTTCTTTATAGCTGTTTTATACACTGTAGCTAAACCCATTGCAATGGCCTCATTAACTGTGCATCTTTCTTTTCTTAAAGCTGTCGGCTACTATATGGCAGTTCCGGCCCTGGCAGGCCACGAGAAGGACATTGGTCGATTGAAACTTCTCCTCCCTGACCTGCAGCCCCAAAGCAACTTCTGTTTGCTCTTTCATTACTGGCTGGCCGGAGACAAAGTCGGGAAACTTCGAGTGTTGGTGAAAAACGGGAACAGTCCTCTGGCATGGGAGGGGACCAAGAGTGAGAATAAAAGGTGGAAGACCGGGAAAATTCAGTTACATCAGGGGACTGACACTACCAAACGCGTAAGTGGACAAAGTGTATTCCGCTAGACATTGACATTATTTTCAATGATCTAATGAACAAAACACTTCCTGAAGTACCTAGGCGCTGGGACTGCAAAGGCGAGTAAGGCTTTTCCCCTACACTTGAAGAGCTTATGTTCTGGAACAAACTAGGCAAGGCAATGGATCAGTACTGCTAATAATAATGCTTGTCAGGTGCACAAATGCCACGCTGTGGGGGAACGGTCTGTTTGTGTGTCAAGCTCCTTTCACCAGCATCCTTTCAAACCAGGCTATAAATTCCTTAGTATGTAAAACAACATCTTCCCTTCATTCTATGCCCAGCACTTATCACAACGAATGAAAACTAGAAGGTCATAGTTTAAGTGGCTGTTGTCTGGAGGCCCCATAACCACGCTCACATCCCATGACACCACAAAAGGATTCTAAGCACTGGGGGAAAACTGTTAACACTAATGATTAGTTTGTCACAGCAGAAGAATATGGACTGAGGGCAGAGTCCGGGACAGACGGGGCACAAGCTTGTAGTTGTCCTCAACCAGTAGTCATAGAGAAAGGGAACTCTTAATTCTCTCAGCAATTCTGTGTGACAGTGTACACAAAGTGCTGCCCACCAAGGACACTCACCCATGCCTTGGCGTTGTAGGGTTTTGTTGGGGTCAGCCTGCCCACATGACCCTGTGGCTGACCTTACTCAGTCTCCAGCTTCTCCAGGCTGATACTTGTGGGACTCAAGGCCCCACCATACATCACATCAATTTGCCTGGCATGGCCAAAGGTGGTCTGAGGAGGTAGAATATTCCAAGGACTTAGTGTTGATCTCCTAGGGACCCAAGGCCGCTTCACCTTCTATAGGCACTGTCTACTCAAGGAGGTTGAGCTTGTGGAAGGAATTGTCTTGTAGAAAAATCTGCTTTTGACTGTTACACCCCAAATGCCCTTTCTCAAAGACAGCATAAGAAGCCTGCATGGTATTTTTGTACCAGGATAAGGAAAAATGCAGTTTACCATCACAAATTAGGATGGCAATTAATTATCCTAGCACTTATTTTTAGTTACCCTGGGGTATCAGTCAGGGATTTCAGTGATGGGGAGGCCACCATATCCCAAGGTCTAGACCTGGCCACCCTCGTTAACCCACCTAGAGGTCTGCTTTTGGCTCACTGCTTTTTAAAAAAATGTCTTATTTATTTTTAGAGAGAGGGGAAGGAAGGGAGAAAGAGAGGGAGAGAAACATCAATGTGCAGTTGCCTCTCACACACCCGCTACTGGGGCCCTGGCCCACAATCCAGGCATGGGCCCTGACTGGAAATCAAACTGGTGACCCTTTGGTTTGCAGGCCTGTGTTCAATCCACTGAGCCACACCAGCCAGGGCTGACTTACTACTTTTGAAAAATACTCAGAAGGACATCTTCCTGAAAGCAGTTCCTCCCTGAGAGGAGACTAGGAGAGGAAGAAATTCCTATCCCCCGTTGAGCTATCACTTGCTGCTTAGTGATAACTTGTCTGCAGCGGTTCTCAAGAAAATGAATCCCAGTAGCTTGGGGGCAACAGAGGGCAGACCAGGCCGTGGGCAGTCACAGTCTCCCTTTGCCCCATTTGTCCCTCTGAGCCTCCCCCTTCTGTCTTTGGAGATCCTGGGAGATTAGGATGGTGGTGACAGTGAGCCTAAAATCACTTCATCCTTGAAAACTATCCCACAATTATTTATGAAGCAGGACAGAGATTCTATTGGGGACAGTGAAGAGTTGCACGCCGGTATCATGAGCATGATCTGTGAAGGACCTTTTTTTACAAGGCCAATTTGCTGCAAGTTTGAATTTCATTTTTTAAAAGTTTAGAAAAGACAAAGGGAAATCACTTCATTGAAAAAAATTAAAGATTCATAATCACCCCACAGTAACATCAATGCTTCCACATTTTGCATTTTACCATCCACATGAATACATATTTGAATCTATTTATATCCACAGTACAAACGCAGTGCATGGTGTTAAATTCATTTTGAGGGAAGGACATGTGTGTGGAGTTTTAAAGAAGAATAACATGTTCCAAATTAAATATTCTTTCCTTCCTAAATTGTTTGATTCAGAGTAACCTGAATGATGTTTGAATCAGAATAATTTTGCTGTCCTCTAATCTGCTTATCTCTAATAGTGAGAATTAAAGAATTAAAGAGCACACTGGGCAAAGGGTCGCCAGTTCGATTCCCAGTCAGGGCACATGCCCAGGTTGCAGGCCAGGTCCCCAGTAAGGGCCACGTGAGACGCAACCACACATTGATGTTTCTCTCACTCTCTTTCTTCCTCCCTTTCCCTCTTTCTAAAAATAAATAAATAAAAATTAAATAAAATAAGATGTAACTGTCATTAGTTTTATAATTATTGAATTAAAAATATTTTGGTGTTTTTTTCTGATTATATAAGTAGCATGAGCTATTTTTTTAAAACATTACAAAATTGAAGAAACTTATACACATCATTCAGCAAAAAATTTATCTTAATAATATTTGTTTGAAAATGTTTTTAGGTGAATGAGTGAATATAAAATAGTCACTGTATGTCTTTAATTTTGTTAAATGAGTCACCCCTGCCATTTTGTGTCCAATTTGAAGATAAGGTTTTTTTCATATTCATCTTCTGTTCTTTATACAGTAGAAATTTCTAAAATGTAAAGAAGTTTGCTTCTCTCTTGATTACTAATAAATGTCTTAGATTAAAGTGATTATAGCCTATTACAATACATTTCTCAATACATGGAAACAACGACATGCCAGATAATTTCTGAATACGTGAATCAACAGTTTAAGAAAAATAACTATGTTATTGTAAACTACCAAAATCTAAATACCTCAAAATAATTTCCTTTCAACTATATAGTTTTGCATTACATATTCACAAGGAATACTAAATTTCTTTTAGGCAGTCTTTTTTTTAAGAAAACCATATTCTTTTATTTTGGGGTTTTTTTGAGGTGGGAATTCAAAAATTTCTTCTTAAACTTTACCCTCCTCACCTTACAGGGGTTTCCAGGTTCTCTTAGGTGTTACAGTTTTCTCTGAACATGAGTCACTCAGCACAGACAGCTGTCACGTGGAAAAATAGAGTATGTTCCTGCTATTCAATGTCAAAGCCTGTTTCTGTGCAATAGGGACACATGAGGTTTGTCCTCTTTAATAGCCATTAGAGAGTCTGATTGTATCATTGTTTTGAATATTTGGAAGTAATTTTTTATCCCCTCTCCATTATTAGATCGTTTTTGAAGCAGAACTCGGCCAGGGCAACACCGGAGAGATTGCAGTGGACGGTGTCGTGCTCGTGTCTGGCTTGTGTCCCGATGGCCTTTTATCCGTGGGTGCTTGAATGCTGCTGTTGTCTGTTCTATCTTTATATTTGACCTTTAATGTCACGTGTCTGTCTTTTGATTTTATATCACAGATGTCCCTGTACTTTAAAAATACAAACTGAATAATTGCCATGTACCAACACAAGCATCATTGTAAGGTGCCTTTCTTATAGAGAGGCATCAATATTTGCTTTAAATTCATTTCTGGGTTGATAAAATGTGAAAATGTCAGTTCAGCCTCCCCCCATACATCTCATATGTCTACTTGTGTTAATGAACCTTTCTATACAACATTTCTAGAGTTACAAAAAAAAAAAAAACCAAAACAGAGAAATGTTTAACTGTGTGGCTTTTATGGCACATCTTAGAAATGATGACATCACAGATAGACTTTTACTTAAGTGGCTTAACTAGATCTTTTGTATCCAAACTTGTTTATTTAAATTCTTTGTAATAATAATATCCAAATAATCACCTTGTCTCATGGTTTAAGTTTTTTCTAAGTAAGGAACTGTGGTTATTTGACTTTGTATTTAGTTATGTGTATGGTTATTTGCTTTGCTGGAAAACATGGTTTTTATTCTTTCTCTATGGAAATACTTTATATTCTTAAAATTCTTATCTATTATGGGAACACATGACTACTTTATTAGGCCTCATAACTGCAATGTAAATTAGCATAAGTTGTTGAATTCAAGGCCTCAGAGAACCTGAAACTAAATGAAGCAAGTAGCAGGACTCAAAACAAAGATAGATGCCTTCTTTTCTGTTTCTTTCCTTCCAAATTCAAGAACAACTTTGTGTGGGAATGAATCCCGCGTGGGTTCTCTGAGGATGAAAGGCTATTCTGCTTTAAGATTCAGAGTCACAAATTGCTCCAAGAAAGCTTCCAAACAAAAGGTTCTTTAGATATTTGCTTTCTGTCCCCTAAAACAGTGAAGGCATGGGGCCATAGGAGGAAGGAAAGAGAGAAGGTGGCTCACTTATTAATCTTTAAAATTTTCAGTCTCACTCTTAAAATTTTTTATACTGAAACTCTTGGGGGGGTGGGGAGGAAATGTTGTTTTTCTTTCATGTGAATCAATTACTTCTACACAAGACTAGCTGTATCTGTTGGATAGCTAGTACCTATAGAAACCCCCCAAACAGCATTTCTAGTGAGATCAGTGGAAGACCTGTCCAGCTACATCCAATCAGCCTACAGAACTAAAAGACATAATAAAATGGTTGTTTTAAAACATGAAAAGTTGGGGTGGTTTGTTACACAGCGAAAGCTAACTGATGCATGTGGTTTTGAATACTGTGGTAGAATCTGAAGAAGACTTCCTTTCTGGATAGAAAATGAAGGTAGGAAGCTGAGCTAAGTTGAACCAAATAATAAGATTTCCCGTTTCTCTCTATCTGCAGTAGAGACTTCTAGTTACCTACCCAATATCCATTCTCACCCTTTTCCTTACTAATATAACCACATATACATGTATTTGGGGGTTAGGGGACAATGTGTTCTACTAAAAGACTGCATTTCTTAAAATCTCTTTCAGTTGGAGGAGGTCACTGAAGCACTGTTGGGGCTTCCAGGAAGGATCATTAAAGATGGATCTTTGATGGTGGCCTACTTTTGCCATATCTCTTCCTCCTTCTTCCTGCCTTTGGTGTGGTTGTGGAGGCAGGTGCTCTATGAGTTACCTTGTAACCATGAGGACAAGGGCCGTACTCTATGAGGGAGTGCACAGCTGGAGGAAGCCTGGGTCACTGATGACATTTTGGTATCTCTGCCTCTGTCCCAGACTGGCCTCTGCTTGACGTTGTAGGAAGTGAAAGAAACATAAATCCTTTCTTGGCCCACCTAGCATTTCAAACAAGGCACACTCCAGACTCAGGTGACCACTCTCCGATTCTTGAGGGCTGCTTCTGCCATTTCTACCAAAAGAGCATATAGTCTTGGGGACTCGCTTCTTAGACCCTTAAATACCAACAGATTGTTTTAAAGCCCGATCAACAGCCTGTGGTGTCATGGAGCTGTAGCCTGCACCAGCACCGAATCATACTTTGCCTCCTTTGAGGAAACCTACGGTCAGTCGATTTAGCCACAACTCCCGTATCAGTTGATCCTGGACAGCATCCAGTGTGCAAAACCGCCATGTCCTCCATCCACCATCTCCCACTCGCTCATCCCCGCACTCTCATGGGCTTTCTCTTCTGGATACTAACTCCCACTATTTCTGCCCCTCCCCCATCACACATACTCCATGGTCTGGTAAACAAACTGCTTCACCTTAATGCATGCTGATGATGTCTTCCTCCATGTTTCAACCTTAGCTGGACTGAGGTTGAAAACAGCTTCCTCTACCCCTGCAGCCTCATCAAATGACTGCCACTCATCCTCTCCCACTGCACACATGTCAGCGTGTAGAGTTGAAGACAGCATCTTTCGTGCCCTACTCTTGTTTACAATCTCTTATTTCTCAAGTCCCATGTATAAAAGGCATTGTTCATCGGAGGCGCCCTTAAGTAGCTCTACAGCCCTCTGTCCTTCCTAGCCATGTCATCAACCAACCTGTGCAGATGACCCATCCAGTATCCTGGCCTCACAGTTCCTTGACCTCCTTTGTTCCAGTTATCATCACCTCCTCCCTGTCACTGGTCTTTTAAAGATCTTTTTCCTCATGAGACCACAGTGCGGTCACACTGCTCTCCTGCTGAAGTTGAGACACTTTCCACTTGCACCATTCATTTTTCAGGCCCTTTCTCAGAGTCCCAGCAGTGCCCCCTTGTGGTAGCCCATGTCCATATATGTGTGGCTGCTACCAGGCAAACAACTAAAAGGACTGCCCTGGGCATCTGCTGCTCCCCACTTTGCTCCATTTCTCCCTTCTCCGGTGTCCTGTGAACGAACTCATGCTTCTTTCAATTCAGTTGCCCCTGAGATCTTGGAGACTCCAATCTTGCAGAACTTTCATTCTTTCCTGTCAACACTTATCGGTCCTACAACAAGTGAAGGGATGGTACTCTTGTAAGATAACTCAAGGGTCAGGAATAAACGGCTGCAACTGTAACCTTGACTAATATTTTCTGTTTTATTTTATTTTTAACATTTTATTTATTTATTATTAGAGCGAGGGAAAGGGAAGGAGAAAGTGAGGGAGAGAAACATCAATGTGTGGTTGCCTCTCACCTGCCCCCTACTGGAGACCTGGCCCACAACCCAGGCATGTGCTCTGACTGGGAATTGAACTGGTGATCCTTTGATTCACAAGCTGGTGCTCAATTCACTGAGGCACACCAGCTAGGGCATATTTTCTGTTTTATAATAGCAACTTCCAATGCCTTCATACAAATGAATGAGCAAGAAGGCAATTTCAGCACCATGGTAAAATCAAGGACTCTCCTCTCATGGCCCTCAAATCTCACAGCTACATTACGATGGGGGCTGTGCCAGTTAGTGTTCACTGGTAGCAGGCAACAGAAACAGATGTCAGCTAACTTATGTGAATGGGAAGTTGCAGTAAAGAAGCAGAAGTAATGCCGGCAGGTGAAAAGACCAGTGGCCCGGCCTCGGGATGCGCTGCAGGGCTACAAACAGAGGTAAGAAAAAAAGCCATTGCCCTTCAGGATGCCACCGTTTCCAGAATGATCTGTTACCATGTTAGTCTCCACATGACTCTGCTCAAAATTCACTGTCTGGGGAGGGGTGTGCCATCAGACCAGGCTGGGCCATGTGGCTGTCCCCTAGCAAGGGCAGGTTGGGGTGTCTAATGAGCTGTTCAGAAAGTGGGCAGAAAGCTGCTGGCCCAAACCCACCAAAGTCTACCATGTGGGCCCTGTCACGTAGCAGCCAGGATTAACTACGTGTGATTGTTCCAGTCAATATACCAATCTAAATGATTACTTTTGTCATGGCAAAGGACTTGATGCTTTCATTCTCTTCAGCACCTAGAAACGTAGGTGGTGTTTGAGTCACGTTTGAAATGAAGAACACCTAATAACTATTATATGAGCCAAATGATGCAGCAAGAACAACGTGCTAGGTTGTTATGGGAAGGGAGAGGGAATGAGGCCAAAATGGAAAATGCTTCTCTTAGGCACCATAAATCAGAACAGTGCACTCTGGCCAAATGTGTGTCTCCCTGAAGACTTAGAAGACCTGGAATGAACATGGTTATCCTTAATATTGTCATTTTGATGAATGCTCCCTGCTGACAGCACAGCCTGGTTATAGCATGGAAGGAGGGGTGTGGGTGGTGTGTACAGAGTCGGCTCATGAGAATGAGCCTCAAAGCTATGTGGCGCAGGAACAAAAGATGAGGAAGCAGCACAGACCAGTGATTTTCTTACTTTGATGCTATGTCTTTCTACTCCGATGAATTGCTGTCACAAAATGACCTCTCTTTAAAAGAAAAACCAGAGACCCAAAATCAAGTGAGGCTTTTATGGAGCAGTCCACACATTGGGATCGCTGGCAGACTGTCCTCCTCCTAAAGTTTGTTTTTAGATTCAGTTATTGATAGACATGTATTTATTGCCATTTTATTGTTCAAAGTTTCCATCTTCTTTTTCTTAAATAAGTCCCTTTAGCATTTCATATAAGAATGGTGATGATGAACTCCTTTAGTTTTTTCTTGTTTGGGAAGCTCTTTGTCTGCCCTTCAACTCTAAATGTTAGCTTTGCTGGGTAGAGCAATCTTGGCTGTAAGTCCCCCCTTTTCACGACTTTGAATATTTGTTGCCAATCGCTTCTAGCCTGCAAGGTTTTTTTTTTTTTTTTTTAAGAAATTAGCTGCCCTGGCTGGTGTAGCTCAGTGGATTGAGCATGGGCCTGCGAACCAGAGTATCGCGGTTCGATTCCCAGTCAGGGCACATGCCTGGGTTGCAGTCCAGTTCCCAGCAGGGGACTCACAAGAGGCAACCACACATTGATGTTTCTCGCCCAGTCTTTCTCCTTCCCTTCCCCTCTCTCTAAAAATAATTAAATAAAAATATTAAAAAAAAAAGAAAAGAAAAGAAATTAGCTGACGGTCTTATGCGTATGCCCCTCTAGGTAACTAACTTCTTTTCTCTTGCTGCTTTTAAGATTCTTTATCTTTCTTTAACCTTTGGCATTTTAATTATGATGTGTCTTAGAGTTGGCCTCTTTATGTCCATTATAATTGGGACCCTCTGTGCTTCCTGGACCTACATGTCTATTTCATTCACCAAATCAGGGAAGTTTTCTTTCATTATTTTTTCAGATTTCCAATTTCTTGCTCTTTCTCTTCTCCTTCTGGCACCCCTATGAGGTGAATGTTGGAATGCTTGAAGTTGTCCCACAGGCTGCCTATTATTATCCTCATTTTTTGGAGTCTTTTTTTATCTTTTTGTTCTCATTGGTTGTTTTTTGTTTCCTTATGTTCCAAAAGATTGATTTGGTTCTCAGCCTCATCCACTCTACTGTTGTTTCCCTGTAGGTTGTTCTTTATTTCAATTAATGTATCCTT